GTGCCTTCCATGCTCAATGCCAGTATGCCCACTTTCTAGATGAAGAAACCGACACTTTGAGACGTTGAGGAGCTTGTTGAATGCAAGCAGGTAAAAGTCGGATGTGCGGGAGTGACACTCACCCGGCCTGCCTGAGGCTGGAATCCTCTCCGCCACACCGTGCTGCAGGCTCTTCAGGAGCCACATTTTCATACTCTCAGAGAGAAACTCAAGCCATCCAAGGACTGAGCACAATACTCAAGACATTTTCAGTGTGAGCCATTGAGCATCAAAGTCCACAGGAGCTGGGAGCAGCCAGATGGGATCAGCCACCGGCATCTGGGACATGTGAGCCAGAAACGACAGTGTCTGTTGCACTCAGCCTCCGCCCCCTTGAAACAAGAAGGCCCCGGCTGAGGGAGAGACATCAGTCACGGTCTTAGGTTCTGAGGGCCTTCACACCAGCACTGGCTTTATGCCAAGGGTCTAGACTTTGCCATTTCTCTCAACTTCTCGGAAAAAGCACCAGCAGCTCTTGTCTTACCAACCATCTTTAAGAACGATGACCAGCCAGCTCCACTCAGGAGGGCACTGCCAGCACTCTGAGCCCACCATTGCCTCCTACAATGCCAGGCAGCAGATAGAACAAGCTCATTTCTGAGGTGAGGAAACCCAGGCTCTGTTAATCAGGATAGAGACTAAGAGAGAGCGGCAGACACTTGCCTCTACCCTGGGCTTGGCTGGCTCCGAGGTGTGAGCTCCTACCCTTGCAGGGAAGCATTCAGATGACTCCTGACAGACACCCCCTACTAATGTTGGCTACTAGGGACCCCACCCCTCTTCTCACAAGCAATGACAGGAGAGCCACTGAGTTCTCAAAATTCAGCTTCTTCATCTTCTTGGGATCATTCTGACTGGCCCCATGGAGCTCAAGATTCAATGTGTTTATATTTATAAAAAACTTATTTCTAGACATGGTTAATTGGAAAAAAAAAAAAAGGCCACAGAGTCCTCCTGTCCCTCACTGCAAGCCCATTTCCAGTGAGACTTTATAGCTAAAGAGTAGAGGATATCTCCCCAACTCCTGAATCTGGCCTGGGCCACTTGACCTGCTTTGGTTAATGATGTGATGTCATGATGAAGAGCCGTGCACATTGAGGCTTGCCTTCTCTTATTGCTGTCGGGAACCCTGAAGCCACCAATGGGTGAAGAACTCTGAGCCAGCCTACAGGAGGAGGAGGGACATGGCCCATAGCCAACCCGCTGCCAGAAACGTAAGGTCTTTGGCTGCCAGCTGACCACAGATGCCTGAGTGACGCCAGACAGCGCTGTGTGAGGCAGAGACAATCCATCCCAGATGGCTCAGCCCAAATCATCAACCCACAGCATTGTGAGTAAATAAATGATTACCATTTTAAGCCACTGAGTTGCAGGGTAGTTTGCTCTGTAGCAGTAGATAACCGATACACCAGCGCGGTTGCATAGGACATACTACCTTTCTCTCTTCCTTGTTTCTTTCCAAAGAGCTATAATGACTGCATGAGCAAGACTGCTGATGTTGGAACTCTGCAGCCCTGGATGTGGATGTGACCATCTGCTCAGCCCCTCTGGAACCATCTCCTCACCTGTGGAATCAGAGGGCTGGACTAGCTGACTGCCGCGGGCCCAGCCGGCTCCAGCCTTCTGACCTTCTCTTGCATCTTTTTCTTGGTGTAAAGTGTCATGCCCACATTGTCTCAGACCTTTTTCTAGGTTTTTGCATCATTCTCCATTCACTTTTGATAGCAACTCATATGTTCTTTCTGGCCCCTCCTCTCATGTCTAGATTGAGCATCTGAATGGACGTCTTTCTACACTAGGTCAACAAGATTCAGCTTTAGCAAGACACTGTGCGTTTCAGTTCTTGTGTGTCATGCACTTTAGTTTAATAACAGATTTTTTGGGAAAAAGAAAAACCAGGTTAATTGCGTAGCTTTAAAAGTGCATATATGATTTGTTACCTTTGGTATTGCAAGCAATGTTTGAGGCTGAGCATTTGACACGGGTAACCTGGAGAGGCTTTCCAGAAGGGCACTGTTGACCCTCAGACACAGTGCATAGCAGGGCTGTTTGTAGCCCCACAGTCAAAAGCCTTTGAGTTCAAGACACATTGAGGAATACTTCCCATTTGAAACACTTGAATCTGTGTTACCCCTCATCAAATCACCTACTTCTGGGCATGTAAATTTGGCCGGGGCCCGGGTTGGTAGCTCACATCTGTAATCCCAGCACTTTGCGAGGCTGAAGCAAGAGGATCACTTGAGCCGTTTGAGACCAGCCCGGGTAACGTGGCAAAACCCTTGTTTCCACATATACACACAAAAAAATATACAAAAATTAGCCAGACATGGTGGTGTGTCTGCAGTTCCAACTGCTCAGGAGGCGCAGGTGAAAGGGTCACTTGAGTCCAGGAAGTTGAGGCTGCAGTGAGCCATGATTGTGCCCGTGCACTGCAGCCTGGACCACAGCACAACACTCTTATCTACGTAACAAAACTGCACATCCTGCACAGGTACCATGGAACTTAAGATAAAAGTTTAAAGTTAAAAAAAAAAAATGTTGGCCGGAAGGTGTGGCAGCTTGCTCGGTGCCTGAGTGGCAGTTCTTCCCAGATCAGGGGTCGGCTCACCAACCTCTCTTAGCTCTGAAAGTTCTGTAATCTCCTCTGAGAGATATTGTCAAGAAGGTTACTCAATTTCCAAGAGACTTGGCAATTTCTACTGTGTCCCATTGCCTTATACGTGACAGCTTCTCACTGACTTTCTTGAAAGTCCTTATTTCAATGCTTTATCACGGCACATGGGATAACATTTCAAGCCACACAAACGGAATCACATGTAAGAGAAACTGCCCATTGTGTGCTGGGCAACTGAGGTTGCCTTTCTGAGCTGCTGCATCTACCAGGAATGGGTGACACCCTCTCATTACATACACATCCTGGCCCTGTGAGTTTTTTTTGCAAAGAAGTATAAGGCCCATTTGAATAGCAGAAACACTGAGGGGTGTGTGTGTGTGTGTGTGTGTGTGTGTGTGTGTGTTGGGGGTGTGTCAAGAAAAGACAACAGACACTTGGGGATCTTGCAGCTAAGTGAGCAGCATGGGGCAAATCAATATAATGTTTTAAAATCCGCGACATTGATTTCATGGTGTTCCTTTTTCTCTCTAACTACCAAGATGGTAGTTAGACAATAGATGTCAATAGACATCTATTTTTTCACACCACAGTCTGATGTGGTTTGTTTTCAGTAACTGTCAACTAGCAGGTATTTGTTCAGCACTTGGTATGTACCCAGGCAAAGAGCTGTGCAAGTATATGGGAGGCCACCCTGCAGCTTGGAAAGAGGCGTTACATGTCCACTCCAAAACAGAAAAACAATGTAAAAACAGAAAAAAAAAAAAAACTATCCATGCTCAACACATCAGCTGGGAGAGCCTTGGTGTAAAGTTCTGAAGCACCTACCTGAAAACTTTCAAAGAATCAAGGGCGTAGAAGGAGTCCATAAGCACTCAATACAGGACACAACTGCAAAGGCATTTTCTTCCTTTAATTTCCACAACCCTCACTTTCAGAGGCAGCACAGCTGACGGTGACCTGGGGCCACGGGTCAGGCTGCACTCTGCAAGGTGCCTGTTTGTTGTATTAGGAAGAGTCTACTTTCAAATTCAAACAGCACCCGGGAGACAAAGGCCAGTCCTGGCTGCTGCCCAGGCAGGTGTTCTCTTGTCAAAACAAAAACTGCCTCAAAAGTCAATCCAGAGGCTGGGTAAGGGAAGGAGCCGTGAATTAGAGGCAGGGAACCCGAGCTTCAGGCCACTCCTGCACCTTGGGTGGCTGTGGAATCTCGATTACTCTTTTTAAACCTCAATTTCTTCTTTTGATAGTAGGGATCAATGACGCCTCACCTCAAATGGGTCTAACAGTGTCTGCTCAACCTAATGGCTTAGATGGAAAACTGCTTTATTCAGGAAAGGACTCCGAAACGGTAAGCTGCTTTACTAAGGTGCTGTGGCATTTTCTTCCAAGTTGAGAAGTTCTGCTACATGGGAGGAATGAACAGTGCCCGTTTCTGAGTGTTCCAGACCACAGGCTTGCAGCTCTGGGGATCTAAAGGAAGAAACATCAGGCATGCCTCGCGGGGCCGCGGACTTGAAGACGGGGATGGAATTCAGGTGGATGCAAACCACAGATGGTACTGGTTCCACTAAGCTGCCCCTCCTTCAAATGCCTCCTTCTGGCACTGCGCATTTCAGTTTCTCTTCCGGCTGCAGAGGCTCCCCAGAAGCCACGTCCCCTGAAAGGGAAATAGGAAGGACCTCGTTCCTGACACCACCTCTAACTCCTGCCCCGTGGAGAACCCACCAGGACACCTGAGCAAGATGTAGGCCTCCTTAGGTCAAATGGTGGGTTACCAGCCAGGAGGGAGGGCTCTAGGAGGGTTGGGAGTCATGGAACCCTGAAGCTTAACCTGCTCTGACCACCAGGGCTCCAGCCTGGGGTGACAGGACTGGGCCCTCGGCCTAGTGTTGAAACGGGGGCGCACGATGTTTTTCTATATAACTTTTGACCCACTTTCTGATAAATCTTTTTCTTCATGGTTGATGCTGCATGAAATCTAGAATGAAAACACCACCTCCTCTCCTCCTAGAACGCAGACTGTCTTACCACCGCCCTAGTTTCCTTGAGTTCCAACTGCGGCAGGCCCGCCATGCGCCAACAACAGGCTGGCTCAGGGCTGAGGGGGTCTCTGGAGTCTGAACCCCGCGCCCGCTTGCTCATCCATGGCTTAGCCGGTCAGGACTTGAACATTCGCCGGATGTAAACATTGGGTCATTTTGAACCTCAAAGCCTAACCGGAGCCTGGGGAGGCCTTTAGGACCGAGGGAAGCCATCGTTTCCACGAGTCGGGCAGCAAATTCCTGTCCTCCTCGTCCCCCGCAGCTATCCCCTGCCCGCGCCTCTGTGGCCCTCACTTTGTCAGACACCGGGCCCCGGGCCACCCTCCAGACGCGATCCCCTGCTAGAGCCTCCCTGGTCTGGGGCAAAGTTGGTGGCCGCCTTCGCGCGGGCCGCGCCCTCCTTCTCTTCGCTGCCATCCTCCCCCGGGGCCCGCGCCCGCCGCCTCCAGCACGCGCGTCGGCAGGCCCGGCAAGTGAAGTGGAGCGGCTCTCTGGGGGCGCCCCTTGCCCAGCCGGCCAGCCCGGCGCGCACGACGGGAGTCTCCCCGCACCCCTTCCTCTCCCGGGGGCCGAGAGGACTGGGCTCCGCCCCGGCGCCGCAGCTCCAGGCTCTCTGCCGCTGGGCTGCCGCCGGTGCCCCGCGCCCGGCGCGCGGGGCAGCCGGGGGCGCTGGCGGCGAGCGCAGGGCGGGGGGAGAGGAGCGGCGCAGAGGGGAGGGCAGAGGAGGAGAGAGCCTGGGAGCGGAGGAGCAGAGGCGGGCGCCGCACCGCCCCGCGCCCCGCACGCTCGCTCGCTCCGGAGACTCGCGGGCGGCCGCTTGGGCGCACTAGCCGGGTCACCTTGTCCCGGAGGTAAGTCCCGGCTTGCCCGCCGCGGGGGAGGGCGGAGGGACCCGCGAGGGCGGGGGCGCGGGGGAGGGTCCGTGAGCTGGCGGCCGGAGCGGGAGGCGGCCCCGGCGCCGGCGGGTGTCCTGGTCCTGGCTCCGCCTCGGAGCGCGCAGACCCGGCGGCGGCGTGGCGCCCGCGGTAAGTCCGGGTGGTCGCGGCGACGAGACTTGGGAGACACCGGTCGCTGGGCGGGAGGGGGAGCTGAGCCGGCGGAGAGGATGCCGAGGAAGGGGTCGGCGCTGGCCCAGGCTGCACCTTGGCGCCTTGCCTCCCCGGGAGACGTGAAGGGGCTGCTGTGCGAAGTCGATGGGAGCTGGCGAGACCGAGAACTGGGAGCGTAGCGGAGCCAGGCTGCCCAGCAGGGCCGTGGGCAGCGCAGAGGGCCAGAGCTCTACGGGTTCGGTCTGCCCCCCGGAGTGACCCGAAGGATACCAGCCGGGGCTGGTGAGCCGGGTGTCCGCAGAGCTGGGGACCTAGGTCTGTTTGGGACTAGGAAGGGAAACAGACTCATCCTTAGAGCGAAGCGCCAGATACGGTGCTGGCGCGCTTGGGATGAAGAATCCCGACGGGCGACCGGGACGGAAGCAGGGACTCCTGGAGCCCCTTGCCTCCGGCCAGGACAAGACTTGCCTTCGAAAGCTGTCTGGCCCCTGGCAGCCGCAACAGCCTGCTGCCCTAGAAGCCACAGCCCCGGCGCCGAGAAGGGAGAGCTCGTACGCTTTTCTGATTCCAATTTTAATCTCGCTTTTTCCTAGTCGTGATTTCTGCCTCTTCCTGTGCGCTCTCTGGGCAGTGGGGAGGAAGGAATGGCTCACTGGCCCAGCTGAGCACTTTCCAGGGGGAAAGGGCTTTGGTCCCTGTGCGCTTTCTGCAAGACACTAGTAGAGTGGCTCTGGCAGCCGAGCTTTGGGGACTTAGCCAGAGGGGCCGCTTGGCATCTCTGCAAGACAAGAGGAAGCAGTCTTCTGGTAGTCCTGTTTTCCTCTCGGGGTTTCCTTGTAGGCAGAGGCTTGGGCGCTTGGCACCCAGAGTTCAGGTGCGCGCAGTCCTCCTGCGACGTCAGATTCGCTGGCGCCGTGGTGCTTCTGGCTCGGACTAATGCCTGCGCCTTCCCTGGCCACGTCCTGGTGTTTAGTGCAGCAGACACCGGCCGAAGGCTTGGCGGGTTGGAGATGCAGTGGGGGAGGGGGGCTGGGCATTACCCAGTGGTTCCGTTTTCTGGTTAGAATCAGTTGGTGGGGCGAGCGCGCGCGTCTGTCTATCTGTCGGTCCCCTCCTACAGCCCAGCGTGTTTGGTCTGAGTCCAAAGAAGGAGGTGGTGTGTGTGCTGAGTTGACCTGCAGCCTGTGGGGTGGGCAGCCTCCCAACAGCCCCCAGAGCCGGCCGACTTCTCCGTGCCAGGCTGCGACCTCAGGGGCAGCCGCGCCGGGGATCGGATGCGTCGCGAAGTCCTGGCAGCAGCCTGAAGTGAAAAGGAGCAGCCAGGAGGTGGGCGGCGGGCAGCCTAATGTCCATTCTGGCACGGACAGGAAGAAACTGAAGTCGAATTTTAAGATGAATTGTGTGCTCTGTGTTTGGCGGTGGTGTGGCCCGTCCTTTTGAGATCCACACCACAGGTGTGGGGCCTGTGGGCCCTGAGGAAGCACCCTCCCCTTCTTCCTCCGTCCCCTCTCTGCCCACCACCCGCCCCTTTGCAAGAAGCCAGCCTGACTTGGTAGCTGATCGGTGCCCTCTCTCACCCTGCCCCCATTTCCTGCAAGAAAACGGAATTTTCATAATCAAGAGGGCCTTGTTTAAAAAAAAAGAAAAAGTAAAAGAAAACAGAAAAGAAAGAAAAGATGGAGAAACCTATTTTTAAACTTTTTATTATGGAAAATTTCAGTGGTACCCAGCGGCAGACAGAAAATAGTGCACGGAAGCTGTGTGTACCCCCCACCCAGTCACCATCTGCAGTTACCTTTTGGAGCCTTCAGAATTTTGGAGGCCTTGTTTTATTAAGTATTTTAAAGCTCATTCCAAGATGCTAAGTATTGGATGGTATGTTAATTAGCTCCGTTCATTCATCACACATTGTGTATGCACATCACAGCATCACTTTCTACCCCATAAACATATACAATTATAATTTGCTAATATCTGATAAACTAATTCATTAAAAGTACTAAATTACGTTGACATAAACTTCAAAGAATAAACCATTCCAGGCTCACTTCACCTCTAAACACATCCCTCTGTATCTCCAGCTGACGACATTACATTTTATGCTTACCTATCAGAAATGTCTGTTTTTAATAACCCCATTAGACTATAGCTGATATTAAAATAAAAATGAAGGCCTCTCCATTCCCACTTTAGGATAGAAAAGGAAAACCTGCTAACTTTCCTTGAGACGTACAGGGTCGAGATATTGAAGAAGGAAAGACAAGTCCAGATCCTGGGAAGACAGACATGTTAGCAGTAGGACCAGACGTATCCTAATTCATGCAGGGCAGAAACAGGATTCCGGTTGAGCCATGATAGGCAAGATTTTTTTTTTTTTTCTGTAAGAAAAACTTTAAAACTCAATTCATAAATTATAAGCAAGTAATTTCTTCCACATTTAGCATTGAGATAAATTAAAGGTGCTCTACCAGACTTGACTCATCTTTCTCATTAATATTAAATCATATTTTCTAGGGAGTTATTACATTATCAGAGAATAGAAAGTTATTTTCTTATGCAAGTTTTCTATCTGAGGCACTAGTCAGTGCTATTCTGAGGTTCATGGAGATTACTGAACATTTCATCGTTTAATTAGAAAATGTTTGGTCATCCTCCAGGTCACACCTGCTCTGCCCTCTGAAGAGACTCTCTGCTTGCTGATATGTGATGTCCAGTGTGACTTCTACTGGATGGAGAGGCATAGCACTCAAAGAGGCCATGGAGGTGGCAGGAGGGGACACCCTTCCTCCACCAGGCCCTCCCGTCCTGCAAACCTCTGTGCTTCCCTTTACATAAAAGCAGTTCCTAAAAATTGTCAATGACGTTCTTAGAGGAGTCAGTCAGAGTTTTGAATACCTTTATAAAGTGCACTATTTAAAGGCATCCTTAGTTAACCTTTTGTAAGGCAAATAACCATCTTGTAGGTGAGCAGTTTTATGTCCTCTCACCCACCCCCAAATAAAACCTTGTCTTTCCATGACCCTAGCTTGGCCCTGTGTGCATCACATTGGCCTTTCAGGCCCTCACGCACAATGGAAAAGGCAGGTTCCATCTCAGAGTGAATGTACTGCTGTGGCCCATAGTTTGAACAGATGTCATGTTATCAGCAAAATTATTTGAATGAGTGGGTAAAGGTGGCAAGGACTGAAGTATGGGGTGTTTATGTGACAGCCCTAGCAAAACGTTGGGGATAAATGACTAGCAAAATGGGCTGTTGTATCTGTGGAAAGTTGCATCAGGTCGTTTGGGGGCAGTGCATTGACAGAAGTTTTGGAAGCCATAGCACTTGAGCCGGCATTGCTACACTAGAGACGTTGTATCAAAATCTCTAAAAAGCAGAACTATGCACACGGTAGCGATAGGCTGACCAGGTCTCTAACCATGTCACCAGAATTAGAATAAGGAAGTTGGCAGCTGGAGGTTTGAACAAATGTGGTTTTTCAGCATTCTCTGTGCACGATGCCCATTTTGAACGACTCCTAAGAGTTCCTGAACTTGTGTTCAAAGAGCAGCTGCAGTAGCCGGGGTGCCAACTCCCGTTCAGTGCCCTTGGTTGCTTTGCTTACGTCCAGGGAGCATATTGGATTGCTTGGGGAGTGGAGGAGGGGCGCATAGGGGAGACAGGCTTGCAGAGTGTCCCCTGCTCCCTCTTTCCCCTTGGGCCTTTCCAGAGTGCCAGGAGCAGACATGGGCTCCAGACTCTGGAAGGTCCCATTCGTTTCTTCAGACTGCCATGTGAATGCAAACTTTACCCAGAGAAACACTGAGACAGTGCAGGGTCCTCAATCCAGTGTCTTTTTCATTTAACGAGCTGTGATGACCATAAACCCTTGGTTTTCAAGATCCTGGAAGGAATATGGTTGAAAAGAAACAATCTCAGAAAAGTGACGTGGTTTGTCTAAGATCATTCAACTAGCAAGCAGCAGAGCCCAGAGTCGGGAGCCTACCCCTGTGGTCAGCAAGAGTGAGGATCGGGACGGTGTGTTTGCACTGGCTTGGAGTGGACAGGCACATGTGCGGGAATGTGCTTAGGGGGATTACGTAGCCTGTTGCCTCAGAATTTATAGCAATGTATAGGAAAGGCATGTGAGAAATAGCTTAGAAAATGTATCTTTGACAACTAAATTTACATTCATATTACATTATACAACTTGTGTGATGCATTCTCTAAGATGGAAACATTTTTAATACAGATTACCAACAACCACCACCCTCTGTTTATAATACGTGATGATTCAAGATGCAAGCATGGTTCATATGACAAAATCTAAATCATCTTAAACTATTGTATGATAAATGACCTGTTAAATTACCGAAAACAATTCGTTTTTAAATCCTGGGGTGGCATTTAGAGAATGAGTCTGAAGGAGAGAGTACTTGCGTGAATTTTAAACTGGGCCTTTCAAAATGCGCTCACTTAGGTTAAATTTCTATTTTGAACAATTTTTATGTCTCCAAGAAGTTCAGTTGTATCTATCACTTGACCTCATTGGGCAGGCACTTTGAGATGCTACCTCCATCTCTTTCTTTCTTACCTTTTCCCTCTTCCAGAAAACTTGAGTGTCCAAAACAAAACTAAAAAGCAAACACATTTCATATCGTTTGAAACATGACAGTTTCAAAGGGATGCAGTAATGTCACCTCAAATACGTTTGGAACCACCCCTCCACACCCCTGCTTAGAAAAACAAATAAACGAAATGTTATAGAAACTCACTCTTCTGCCATGCATGTAACAGGCAGTTTTTTACTTCTTCCTATGAC